AATTTTTTTTTTGGGTTCGTTCCTTTTGAAATTCTTAGATTCATTGTCGGTTCTGTCGCTCAATCGAATGAACGAACTCGAACTAAAAACGAACATGAACGTTCGTTGACACAATTTTTGTTAGCTTCCATTATAAAATCTTTGAGTAACTTGGGTCTAACCATATACCCAATAAACGTTCTCACTTCCCAAAATGCATGAATGCAGGAAGCGCCAAAATTGAAATTCGCATAATTTATGGCGAGCAAATTGAAAAATCCGAAAAAATCGTGAAAACATTTTGGACATGGGCTGTTATATTGGGTGCACTTGCAGTAATTCCAAAGGCTCTGGCATCGATTCATGGATATTTTGCCACCTATTCAATTGATGCATTTCAATTGATAATGCCGATTGTGTGAGTAGTTTTGTTTGCAGGGTTTGTTCCTCTGCGAAGGAGAAACGGCGAGGAGGTAAATGAGGAGGATGAGCGCGCAGAGAAGAATCCACCTCCCCAAGTGAGGAGGAAAATGTTTTCAACCAAAAAGATATTTTTGTGTTTAAAAAATCTTTTTGATCCACTTCAGCGCTGTCCTCCTCGATTGCCTCCTCACCATAACACTTCCTCAGACGAGCAATCCCGGCCATGGGAAAAAAGTTTTATTGTTTTATGAATTTATTGCACCTCAGATTACCATGGACCTGGACCAATATATGGGATTACATTATAATAACGAGTTTGGTGGCTGCTTGGTTCTATAGCGGTCTTTTTGTAACTGTTGCTGCGATGGAAATTTTTGCTGGATTTTCTACATTAATCAGTGCATTCATATTGGACATCAAACAGAGCTTGAAAGACTTTAATAACTCTATCGTATGCGCTCGTGAAAAATTTAGTGCCAAAGAGCGTATCGATATTTGTGAAAATCTTTGTGAAATCCTTGAATTTCATGCCACTGCAAAACAGTTGAATATAGTTTTGTTTTTTTTTCTTATTCACAAATTTATACCAATTTTTCTGCTATTCAACAGATTTACTGATCGCTTTTCGACTACCTATAGTTCCATCATAACGTCCTTTGTTTGTTCGTCCAATATATCAATCTGTGCATCACTGCTCAGTTTGAATTCGGTATGTTTTGAATTGTGATAGAAAGAGAAACATTTTCCGAACATTTGCACTCAACGAATATTTGTTTCGTTTTCATAGGCAGTTGAAACGCATAGATTCGCCGATATTATACGCATGGGAGTTGGTGTCAATTATGTATTACTTTACATTTCACTGTTCTGTTTTTTCGGAGACCAAGTCTCAAATGGCTTTGAAGAAATAAATGACACAATTTATCAATGCTCTTGGGAAGCATTTCCAATTGAATTGCAAAGACTTCTACCCATTATGATGATGAATGCCCAAAAACCAATTTACATTCATGGCAAAATGAATATTCAATGCACTCGCGAGATGTTTAAAATGGTAATATTAGTCCCATTGACAGAGAAACACCTTATTATTCATCATTTCTTTTTTTACAGATTGTAAATCGTGCATATTCTTACTTTTCTATGTTGCGCGGTGCTAGTCATTAATTTTTATTATGATTATTTTAAACTTTTTATCTTGAAAATTATTTTAATTAGAGTAGAAAACAGCACCGAAATGTATACCAATCACTTATTTGATAAATAGTGAATTGCATAATTGCAATGTCACCTAAACAGCTAGCCTTTTGAAAAGCTACAGCATTTGCTTGCAAATGCACATACACGAACCAATTAATTCGATTCTATCCACCAATTTTGGATTGATAACTAGGGGATATCCATGCGAATTAGAATTAGCACATTAGCAAAAAATAGGGAAATTTACATGAAGAAAATAGCAAAATTAGCAATAAATAGCAGAATTAGCACTGTACACGTATATACTTTAGTAAGCATTTATTCTTGAATATATTGAAATAATTAATTAAAATAAAATTCACAAAACAAACGAATTGAATAGTATTGAACTAAAATGTATCAAAATATGTAGTTTAATACGCTTTTTCTCATTTTTAAATAAAAAATATATTCAATGGCACGTAACCAAGCACGTTTCATCTGTATTAACTACAATTTACGAATTGCAATCGGAAATGTAGATTTGATGACAGATTTCTTACTGAAAACGTATAGGCTAGTGCCTGCTTCAAATATACACGTTGAAAGTGTCAACTTGAAACATTTACGTAAACACATTTCAGTTATTCGATCATGCTGTCAATCTGACGTATGCAATATTTTTGACGTACTAGAGAAATTAGCAAAAAATAGCAGTATTAGAACAAACTAGTAGAAATACTAGCAGAATTAGTGAAAAATAGAGAGAAATAGCGTTTATTATTATAAATTATTCGATCTGCAATTCACGGTTATCCCCTAGATTGATAATAAATCAATGTTAATTATTAGAAGCAGGTCGCCAAATGAACATTGTTACATTTATTGAGTGAAGCAAATTATAATATATAATTAGCTATTGGTGGACAGGACATGCACATTGCACATTGCACAAATGGTACCTTATTAGAGAAACTATTTGTATTCTTTCAATATTTCAATTATTTTAAATTGTTAGCACAAGCGTTTTGAATAAAATAAATTATTATCTTACAACATTGGTTGAATTTTTTGAATTGATTAATTGTATATTTGAGGCAACAGAATACATGATGCATTGAGATTTGTGCAAAAATTGAAAAGATTTTCGTTTTTTTACTTTTGATGGTGATTGATAAGATACAATCAGGATTTTATATTCTTTAAATGAGACAATAAAACACAAAAGTAAATAAATGAAACGGTCATTGGAATGTTGCTTTGTCATCGAATGATAAACGTTATCAATTCGCGCCTGACAAGCAAAACACAGTATCAGTCAATATTTATGTATATCAATGGCAACCGTCTAATTATCCATATAATTACACAAATTGTACAATTTGGTGTCCTTCAAATAATTTCCGGTTTTGTATTGCGTTTTCGACCTTGGATAAAATATTTGTAAGAGATGTGTTAAATACTTCCAAAATGATTAAATAGTGGCCTTTTCGAGCATCTGCTAAGGAATTACTATAAAAATCCGAGAATTAATGTGATTAGTTTTGAGCTGAATCATGGAATCGGAAAGAATCAAAATTTCAACAGTTCAATTTATTGCATTAAATTAACATTTGTTGTAAGTTAAACCGTTTGCCATATGCGCGATTTGATTGATTTCAATTTTATCTTGAAATTTCTGGAAACATTTAAATGCAAAGGACGATCATGTGAAAGAGAAATCGATTTTGATAAAATTCCCACTGGCTGATGAACAACCAACCACACTCAACAATGCTTTTGATAAAGAAGTAGAAATTTATAGTGAAATTTTACCCTTGTTAAACATTTAGTTGAGCAAATTAAATGGCAGTAAGCAATTGTTACTTGAATGTTTTGCTAATTGGTACTGCTCCCGTTCGATAACGTACGATTTTCCGTTATTTTCAGGCGTTTGTTCGAATAAGTCAATTTTAATGGAAGATTTGTCGAATAACGGATACAGTACAGCGTGTGAAGGGCGCCGATTTAATTTGTTCGAAGCAAAAGAAATTCTAAAGAAAGCGGCAACATTTCATGCAATATGTGCTATTTGTACAAGAAAATCAACCGAATCGATTTGAGCGTTTTAAGCACGGTATTTACTATGTAGTTCATATAGGGTTTTATCGGTGCCACACATATGATTTTTTATTTTGCTCAGGTCTTATCAATCGTTACGAAAAATCGAAACACTTAAACTTCTTTTACCTTTCAAATTTCGATGCATTTGCCGAGATGATTTGAGCCTTACCTGAATTTAGGCATTTGACAGAGAAATTACAAATATTTCGTTCGAAGCTGATTGAAAATGTGCTTGATGTTTTTGAATCAGACCCGAATCATTTTACCACTTTGGTGCATGGAGACTTGTGAACAAATAATATTTTATTGCAGCGCGTAGATGATAGCGATAATGCTCCAATCAGAAATGTCATACTAATCGATTTTCAGTTCTCTTGATGGTCATCACCAGCCATTGATCTACGATATTTCTTTAGCACTTCACTTCTAGATGATATTCGATTCGAGAGAATCGATGAATTGCTCATGTTCTATCATGGTGAATTGATACTCCGTCTCAAGCAATTAAAATATCAGAAACATATTCCAACATTCAAAGAATTTCATCAGCAGTTTTTATCAAAGAGTCTTGTGGGTGTGTCTTTTTGAATCCCAAAATTTGGATTAATATTATTCCTTCTTAACCACTCAAACTTATAATTTTCTGCACATTTCAAGGTTTAATTGCATCATGCATGTTACAAGCACTGAATAAATCAATTTTTGAAGGGATTTATTATGAAGAGCTGATGTCCATCGGAAAACCGCGTAAAAGAGTTAAACGTCGCATAAATATGCCAAATGGCGAACCGAAGTTCATAGAATTAGTGAGGAAACTCGTGCCAATTTATGAGCAACTGGGTGTCTTTGATTGAAGGATTTTTATTGAAGATAAATGCAAAATAATTTCCCATTATGCACAAGGTGTGCGCGGAAAGGTAAAACACTTTAATTTGATATCAGACAGTGACCGGTTCGCGCATATTTCTATGCCTGATAGCTATGCTAAGCATAGCGGAGACGCAAGCCGCAACGCACCCGTCACCATTCGATTCGAGCTATATTGTATGCGCACGGTCGTCTGCATAAACGAACATGTGCATTGTTCATATAGAGTGAACGGCCATGCGTCGGTTGCGTTTGCGGCTATGCTTGGCATATCTATGCTACCTAGCGTATTTAGGCAAGCATAGAATTATGCACGAACCGGTCACTGATATCAGATTGTGAACGTGGTCAACAAATGGGTGGTGATGTAATCAATTTACCAGTGAAATAAAACCAAGATATAATGTTCAGTGTCATAAAAATAAAGTTTATTTCAAATGCCAAATTCAATATTATCTAAGTATTGTTGGGTTCATCATTTTTAAATTAAATCGATTAATCAAATGCTATTAGTATATTTACAATTGTTTGCAACTGCCATTTTGAACGGGCTCGAAACACAAATTGAGTGATAATAAACGTGAATTTTGATCTATTTATAATACATTTTTCATTAATGAGATTCAGTTGAAACTAGTGGCAGTGATCTTTTAAATCTCAAAACTCTGATTAACAGATTAACAATGAGAATGTTGGGAACAAAGTAATTCTTTAAATTATGCAGCTGAATTGGTGTTATTTAGGACGGTGATTTCATTTTTTGTCGATTATTATTTGGTTTATTCAAGAGAATAATGTATGTGAATCAATTTTTCGATGTACTTGGACTTCCAGTCGGTGATCGAACCGGGATCTCACTTCCAGATGGTGTTTGTGCTGTGACTGTTTGAGTTCCGGACGGCTGTAATGATTGAACAAAAAATTAAATATCATCATATTTTTCGTGAAAATTTACTTTCAGTAAAAAGTTTATTTTACCGTTGCTGCCGTTGCTGCCGTTGCTGCGTTTGACAAATTCTGTCTTAAATTCGCTTCCGGATTGTTCATCAGCTCTAAAAATAGAAAAATACGGACATATGTCAAAATTGTTTCAAATATTTCGTACGAAAAAAATCACATTACTTCGTTTTTGGTTGTCAATATATCGAGATGCTTGTAGCATTGCACCTAAAATCGAATTTAAAAATATCATATTATATTGGATGTAACAAATTCAAATACTTATCAAAAATTTAACATTTATATTACTACAAAAATACTCACAATCGACAAAAGTGCGATCCATGGCCGTAATGCGATAATGTCTGCGAATGTGATCATTTAGGACCTGTGATTGACTATAATACAAACCGTTACGAACAATAAAATTTCGCACACGACACGGATCATTGGCAACAATATTGGCAAAAGATTGATCTATAAATGAAATTCGGTTGGTCATTGAAAATAGAGTTAAGAAAACTGAAATATCAATATTCTACGTACCATATGTGCCATCAGGATTTGATTCACCGTCTGAATCATCCGAACCTGATACATTCAAAAATTGACGATTGGTGTCGGAGTCGGTGTAGATTTTGGGATGTTTCCGTGCTATAAAATCATTCAACAAAATATATAAAAAGATTTCTTTCCCAATTGGAATATGATATGAGTTACTTACGCCTTCTTACAGGACGCTTCACGCTATCATTTTCAATCATTCTTTTTGCTCGCGTTGCAAGTTCTATAATAAAAAAAAAAAAACAATTTCAATTTCAAGAAATATTTTCAAAGACAGGAAAAATTTGCACCCCAGGAGCTCATATCGACATTTGAATCAAAGCGAAATATAGTTTTTTTAAACAGCTTTTGCGTAGGTTACATCAACAAATTATTATTATTATATACTTACTATTAAATTCGTCCCTCTGTAGGCCTGGAAACTTGTTTGCAACTAATTCGTAAGTTGCGTTTCTTCTGGATGTAATTCCATTTTTAAATAAATAGTCTTCGACAATATGATAGTTCCATCTACGAATGGTTGATGACGATGAGTTAGATTGACTGCTCTCTTTTTCTGCACATGCTTCGGTATTATCAATTGACAAATCAACGATCGTTGTATTATTAGGTTGAACACTTTCCATCATACCATTCGCTATCCCGTTTATCACTGTATTATTTCGTATGCCAACACCATTCGCAAGAGTGGCTTGTGATTCATTTCCGAGTGTTACTCCAAGTGATGCTGGTACCTTGTTGAGATCAATGTTATTTATGATGCCCACAAACGATGCGAATCCTTCAAGCGTATCATCGTCTGGGAATTCATGCAATGGCGTTGTATTTGGCGTCGACTGATGTTCATTTCGATTTGATGTCGATCCATTCTGTTGTTCAGCGTCAGCTGAGTTGATTTCATTCTGTTGATTTGATCGTTTCGAACTCTTTGTTTCTTTGGACGTCACATCAATTACCGCCGATTCTGAGTGAGAGTAACAAAATACATGACCAAACTGATATTTTCACACACCACAATTGAAAATCTTACCAGAAGTTGACTCCGGTGCTGTTTTCACTGTCGAACGTAGTTCATTCTTCCGTTTCTTCTTCGAGTTGTCATTCGATGTCGATGCGTCAGCAATTTTTCTCTTTCGTTGGTTCATCTCCACTCGCTTTACCTCCTCCCGATTGGCTTGATTGCTTACAGTTTTTGGAGATGCTATGGCATTTTCAATTGTCACATTATAATCGTAATCTATAAGTTTATTTGGTCCATCGACGTTTATCACCAGCATATCTTCTTCTTCATTCGATGTTTCAATTGGGTTGTCAATGCTAATTCCATTCTCGTTTCGCTCGATTCCACTCATAATAGTCGCTTGAGACTCGTTGAGTTGAGACACGAATGGTTGACATATGGTTTCATTGTTTGATACGCCATAAAATGGCTTAGAAGACGGCCAATTGAGGGCTGTATTTACTTCTTGATTTGTTGTTGGCGCAATTGGGTCAGTCTGCTGGCAATTATGCGATTGATTTATTTCAGTCTCACCGCTTGCATCGGTTGTTGTCTTTTTGTTGGTTGGCTCGGGATTGAATTGCACTTCCAAGATAAATCCTTCATACACTTGAACGACTCTATGTAGACAAAAATGACCAAATGAGCGTTTTGTTGATGTTTGTTTATGAATTCAGGTGGAAAAGCAATGAAAATTCTATCAAATGGCAAAAAAAATGGTTTTCTTACTGAGCATTCGTTGTGCGTAGAAAGTATTCCTTAAACTTGTCGTCAAACACCATTCCGCTGCACTCGAAATCATCTTTCACCAATTGCAGCGTTTTCTCCGTAGCAACTTGAGTATTCGTCCAGTAGTTGGATAGAATCTGTCGCCAATTTCCGATCATTTTTCCTAAAAATATACAGAAATTCAGGGCAATCCATTAAATTTCGCTATCAAATCATCACACATCGATTTTGTGCCAACCGAAAGCAAATTTTATGTAAAAACACAAGTCAATTAACGCAGAGAGACTAATGTGTTGGTGTTGTGACTATTTTTTTCTCGGTATATTTTACCGTTATGGAGAAATGACTTCTATCGACCAATCGAAGAATATCTCTGCATAAAATGACTTATTTTTGTACACAGATCCACCGAAAGATCAATTTAAAATGAGATTCTCTTTGGATGTGTTTTTTTTCCCATGATTTGATTGCCAATTGATTGCTTACCCAAAAGTGAGGTTGTTCGTCCAGGTCTCTGGCGCTCTGGCTGTACGCAACGATTTCTGATTGAATTATTATCTTTCCGATTGCACAATTTACAATGGGTTGAATGATGGTTGGTTATTAATACTCTTGGATTTGATCAATGATATTCCGGTAGTTTTTCCGATAATAAAATACATAAAATAACATGCACAGAGCGTATACATACACAATAGCCGGCTGATACAAAAAAACACACAAAAATGACGCATCATTCCACAAACGTCAAACTATGCTTTTCTATGGTCTACACTCAATGCACAATCGATACGACTCTCCACATCGCCTATTAAGTACGGTTGAGTACGTTCAAGCGGTGTTTTCAAATTTATATTCGTAATTTGAATGTTTCTATGAATTTTTTCTGTCTTAATGTGACAGTATAATTACTTTGATAAACTCCAACTCAAGGAATAGATGCGTCTTGTATTTTCGATATTTTCTATCAATGAACGAATTTTATCAGATTTCAATCGAATGCCAAATTTAATTCAAGCAACAAGACATCTCTGTCTCTATTTCTGCCTCTGTGTAGTGTGTACGACATGCTCGTTTGATTTGTGCATAAAAGTAGCAAAATTTGACTCAATATTTCTTCGTAGAAATATCTTACCTTTCCACGCATGGACGTTTCACTTCATCATTGACAATAAACTCGTATAAAGCACTACGATATGTTGCAATCGTGATTGATTGACAATTTTCGTTTTTTATCAAATTAGTTAGTAATTTGATATTACAAACATTTGTGTGATAAGCAACTATTAATATTGATGATCGTATGCCAAACGATATTTGAGCTGGTACTGAATTGATAAGACAAATAGTTGCTCTTTCGTTTCAAAATCTCAATGCCGCTGTATGCTAGATCCTTGACAAAAAAAAATCACATTTACTCTTAATAACAGCTGTTCAGTTCTTATTTAACAATGAAATGTGAAATACAAATGAATTTATTTTGTAGCTTCGTTTTATTCTTTGAAAGAACCCGTCATTTTACATAATAATTTTCTTTGATTTTTTTATTTCTCTATTCATTTCAATTAGAATACAATCCATTGTAACATTTCCGATCTTATTTTTTGTGCTTCATACAAATAATGACTTTTCGATTCGAATAAAGAGAAAAAGTTTACATGGCATGTGATGTAATCAGATGCCTTACATTTAAATTGTCTCTCGACATTTAACAATAGTGAAATAACTGTTCGGTTTGTAACATAAATCATTTGGTTTTGATCTGATGACGTTTTTGATGCCATTTCAAATGAGATTTTGTGACGAATCGTTTTGGGCAATGAGAGCAACGGAATGGTTTGTCTCCGGTATGAAGGCGCATATGTGTGACTAAGTGTCCTTTGTTCAATGTGGCATATTTGCACAAATAACATTCAAATCGTCGTTGATTACAATTTTTCTCGTGCGTCTCATTTTCCCATTTCACCGCAAATCCTTGTCGACAAATCGAGCAATGGAATGGGAATTGATTTGCGTGAGTTCTCATGTGCCTTGTGTGAACACCCTTTTGAGCAAATCCTTTTGCACAAATTTTGCATTTAAAGGGCAATTCACCGGTATGAATGCGCATATGTGTGACTAAGTGTGTTTTGTATAATGTAGCATATTTGCACACGTAACATTCAAATCGCCGTTGATCACAATTTTTCTCGTGCGTCTCCTTTTCCCATTTCACCGCGAATCCTTGTCGACAAATCGAGCAATGGAATGGAAATTGATTTGCGTGAGTTCGCATGTGCGTTTTCAGAGCATCTTTACGAGTAAATCCTTTTACACAAATTTTGCATTCAAATGGTTTCTCGCCAGTGTGAATGCGTCTATGTATTATCAGATGTGACGGACGTGTAGTCACATAATTACAAAACTCACATTTTGTTTTAGATTTCCCATTTGATGTCGATCCATTCAGTTGTACACCAACTGATTTGGTTTCATTCCGTTGTACTTTCTTTGATTGTTTCGAACTCTTTGTTTCTCCCATTGACGCCACATCAATCAGTGTTGATTCTGTGTGATAATAGCGAAATTTATGACTAAACTGAAAAAGATTCACATCTCACAATCGAAAATCTTACCTGAAAGTGGTTCAATCTTCCGTTTCTTCTTCGAATTGTCATTCGATGTCGTTTCGCTAGCAATTTTTCTCTTTCGTTGGTTCGCCTTCACTTGCTTTACGTCCTTTCGATTGGCTTGATTGCTTGCCTTTTCTGGAGGTACTTCGGCATTTTCAATTATTAAATCAACAACTGGTAGATTATTTGGTCGATCGACGTGTATCACCTCCAGTTCTGAGGCATTCGTTACAATAATGTCGTCACTTTCACTGATGGCTGAATCTGGTTGAACGTTTGTCTTTGTTACTCCATTGACAGCTGTGCTATTTCGTATATCATCTTCACTAATGCCAATTTTATCCGTGAGAGTGACTTGAGGCTCGTCAAATTCTACGGACATCATGTCGTTGCCGAGTATTACTCCAAGCGGAGCTGTGACTAGGATGTGTGCTTGAGATAATTCATGAAATGTTGTTATGACTGGCATTGATTGATGTTCATTCACGCCAGGAAGATTGGCTCCGTCATTTAATTCTGGCGCCACCGATGATGCAATCAAATCGACGGTTGGCTGCATAGAAATGCTCTGTGCTTGACTATCAATTGCTATTTCTTTATTCGAAGCTTGGATTGGATTGTCACTGCCAATTTCGTTTCCATTCAGGCTATTTTCATTTAAAGCATTCGCTTGAATTACGTTGACTTGAGCGAAAAATGATTCACTGCCGAGCATCTCTCGGACCGATGCTGTGTCATTGTTCTCATCAATGTTGTTGCTCACAAACGACACAAATCGTTGAAGTGTTTCATCGCCTGGGAATTGTATTGCAGATAATTCATGGATTGGGGTCAAAGCTGACATTGCTTGATGTTCATTTATACAATTATTCATTTCTAGGCAATGGGTGACTCCATTTGTCTCTGGATCTACCCCTTGTACAATCGGATCGGTTGGATGCACAGAATTTTGATAAGCCATTGTCAGTATTTTGTTCGATGTTTCGATTGGATTATCCCTGTCAATTTCGTTTCCATTCAGACCATTTTCACTCAGAATAGTCGCTTGAGACTCGTTGAGTTGAACGGTCGAAATTGGTTGGTTGCCAATCATTGCTTCGATCGATTCAGTGGCATTTTTCGGATCGATGTTTTCATCCACAAATGTGGAATGTACTTGGAACGTTTTATTGTTCGGCACGCGTTCTTCAGATCCATTTGTTTCATCATAAAAGGGTGTTAAAAATGGCAAATTTCGTGGCCGATCGCCGAGTGCATTTACCTCTTGACTTATTGTTGGTAGAATTGAGTCAGTCTGCTGGCAATTATGCGATTGATTTATTTCAGTCTCACCGCTTGCATCGGTGGTTGTCTTTTTGTTGGTTGGCTCGGGATTGAATTGAACTTCCAAGATGAATCCTTCATACACTTGAACGACTCTATGTAGACAAAAATGACCAAACGAGCGTTTTGTTGATGTTTGCTTATGAATTCAGGTGAAAAAGCAATGAAAATTATATCAAATAACAAATAAGAATGGTTTCTTTACCGAGCATTCGTTGTACGTAGAAAGTATTCCTTAAACTTGTCGTCAAACACCATTCCGCTGCACTCGAAATCATCTTTCACCGATTGCAGCGTTTTCTCCGTCGCAACTTGAGTATTCGTCCAGTAGTTGGATAAAGTCTGGCGCCAATTTCCAATCATTTTTCCTGAAAATATACAAAAATTCAGGAAAATCCATTAAATTTCGCTACCAAATCATCACACATCGATTTTTTGCCAACCGAAAGCAAATTTTGTGTATAAACAAAAGCCAATTAACGCAGAGAGACTCAAGTAACACATCTGTGTTGGTGTTGTGACTATTTCGTTCTCGGTATATTTTACCGTTATAGAGAAATGACCTCTATAGATCAATCGAACAAAATCTCTGCATAAAATGACTTCTTTTTGTACACAGACCCAAACAATACCAACATCAAATGCCATTCTCTTTGTATTTCGGTATTTTTTGTTCCCATTGCCAATATTTGATTGCCGACTGATTGCTTACCCAAATGTGAGGTTATTCCTCTAGATCTCTGGCGTTTGTGACAATTTTTGATGAAATTTCACACTTTATCTTTGTGATTGCACAATTCGCAATTAATGAGTTGAATGCAGTATATCCTCTTGGATTTGATCAATGATATTCCGGACGTTTATTTGATAAAAAATACATAAAATAACAAAACATAGACAGATCGTACACAATAGCTGATTTGTTGATACACAAAAACACACAGAAATGACATGGTATTCCACAAACGTCAAACGGTGCTTTGCTGTGGTCTACACTCAATGCAAAGTCGATGCGACTCTCCACATCGCTAATTGAGTACGGTTAAGTACGTGCGAGCAGAATTTTCAAATGTATGTCGTTAATTTGAATTTTTCTATGGGATTTTTCACTTTCAATGTGCACTTTAGCAATGTGAATACATTACTAAATTCAAACTTGAGGAATAGCTATTCCTCCTATAGATACCTCTTGAGTTTTTTACATTTTCTATCAAAGAACGAATTTACTTCAAATTTTATTTGAATAACACCTGCCAAATTCAAGTAACTAGAGATCCTCGTCTCTGTTTCTGCCACGATGACGTGACGACGTACACCTATATTTACTCTCAATAATGACTTTTTATTTCCTTTTAACAATGAAATGAGAAAGCGAAATGAGTTTATTTTGTTGCTTCATTTTATTCATTGTATGAACACGTCAGTTTACATAATTATTTTCTTTGAATTTTTTATTTCTCTATTCGGTACAAGTATATTTAATTTCAATTAAAATACAATCAATTGTAACATTTCCGATCTTATTTTCTGTGCTTCATACAAATAATGACTTTTAGATTCGAATAAAGAGAAAAAGTTTACATGGCATGTGATGTAATCAGAAGCCTTACATTTAAATTGTCTCTAGACATTTAACAACAGTAAAAAACTGTTCGGTTTGTAACATAAATCATTTGATTTTATTTGATGATTTTTTTGGTGTCTATTAAAATAAGATTTATCACTGAATCGTTTTGAGCAATGAGAGCAACGGAATGGTTTGTCTCCGGTATGAAGGCGCATATGTGTGACTAAGTGTCCTTTGTTCAATGTGGCATATTTGCACAAATAACATTCAAATCGCCGTTGATTACAATTTTTCTCGTGCGTCTCCTTCGCCCATTTCACTGCGAATCCTTGTTGACAAATCGAGCAATGGAACGGAAATTGATTTGCGTGAGTTCTCATGTGCTTTGTGTGATCACCCTTCTGAGGAAATCCTTTTGCACAAATTTTGCATTTAAAGGGCAATTCACCGGTATGAATGTGCAAATGTCTGACTAAGTGTGTTTTGTATAATGTAGCATATTTGCACAAATAACATTCAAATCGCCGTTGATTACAATTTTTCTCGTGCGTCTCCTTTTCCCATTTCACCGCGAATCCTTGTCGACAAATCGAGCAATGGAATGGAAATTGATTTGCGTGAGTTCGCATGTGCGTTTTCAGAACATATGTACTAGTAAATCCTTTCGCACAAATTTTGCATATAAATGGTTTCTCGCCAGTGTGAATGCGTCTATGTACTATCAACTGTGACGGATAGGCCACATAATTACAAAATTCACATTTTGTGTTGGATTTTCCGTTTGATGTCGATCCTTTCTGATGTTCAGCGTCGGTTGATTTGGTTTCATTCCGTTGATTTGGCGGAACATGTACTCCCTTTGATTGTTTCGAACTCTTTCTTCCTTTTGACGTCACATCAATGAACGGCGATTCTGTGTGCGAGTAACAAAATTCATAACTAAACTGAAATTTTCACACCCCACAATCGAAATTCTTACCTGAAGTCGACTCCGGAATGGTTTTCTGTGTCAAACGCGGTTCAATCTTCCGTTTTTTCTTTGAATTCCCATTCAATGTCGATGTCTCAGCAATTTTTCTCTTTCGTTGATTCGTCTTCACTTGATTTTTCCCCTTCTGATTGTTTACCTTTTGTGCTTTAACATTTTCAATTGTCAAATCAACAACCGGTAGATTATTTGGTCGATCGGCGTGTATCGTCTCCAATTCTGAGGCATTCGTTACAATAATTTCGTCATATTCACTGATGGCTGGATCTGGTTGATCGTTTGTCATCACTCCCTTCGACATTCCATTGACCGCTATGCTATTTCGCATGTCATCTTCACTCATGCCATTTCCATTCGTAAGAGTGGCTTGGGGCTCGTCAAATTTTGCGGACATTGATTCGTTGCCGAGTGTTGCTCCAAGCGATGCTCTGACATTGTTCTCACCAATGTTTTTGCTCACAATCGATGCAAATCGTTGAATTGTTTCATCGCCTGGGATTTGTATTACAGATATTTCATGGAATGTGGTTGTATTTGCCATTGATTGAGGTTCATTCATATCGCTTCCTTGGTCGACTCCATTTGCTTCTGGCGCTACCGTCGGTATAATCATGTCAGTGGTTGGCCGTCTAGAAGTGCTCGGCCCTTGGTTACCCATTGTCGTTCCTTCACTCGATGTTTCAATTTCAATAGCAATTTCGTTGCCAATCATTGCTTCGATCGATTCAGTGACATTGTTCGGATCAATGTTGTTGTCCAAAAACGATGTGAACGGTTGAAACGTGTCATTTCTTAGCTCACCATAAAATGGTGTAGACGATGGTAATGTGTGTGGCCAATTGGTGACTACATTCACCTCCTGGTTTATTGTTGATGTGATTGGATCAGTGACTGTCTGATGGCAGTTATTCGATACATTGCTTGCTGTCCCACCGCTTGCATCAGTGTTCGTCTTTTTGTCCGCCGATCCGTGATTTCGAGCACGAACTGCAATGAATTGCTCTTCGAATTTGGCATTCCTGAGACACCGTTCATACGCTTGGGCGACACTGTGGAAAAGAATAAAACATTCACGCAGTTGATCAAACGATTACAATTTGATATTGAAAATGCAATGGAAACAATTTAAAATTCAGAACAACATCTTCTCACCGATCATTGGTCTCTCGCAAAAAGTATTCCTTGAAATTGTCGTCAAAGGAGAGTCCACTGCATCGAAAATCACCTTTCAAAAATTGCAGCGTTGCCTCCGTGTCTTGCTGAGTGTTCGTCCAATAGTTGGCCAGAGTGCGTTGCCAATTTCCAATCATGGTTTCTGAAAATACATGAATATTCACGAAAATCCATTAGATTTCCATAGAAAGTTGTGACATACTAAGATAGTAAATGTTGCACAGAAAAAAGTCAATTGATGCAAAAAAGTGTTAGTGTTGTGACTAATCCGTTCACCATAAGTTTTAGCGCTATAATGAGTTGAGCACTTTGAACCAAACGTAAAATCCTCTTGACGCTTAAAATGAACTTATTTGTACAAAAATCCAACAGAAACCCATTATAAAATGACATTCTCATTGATTTCATAGCCAAAATTTTATTGCCAACTGATTGCTTACCCAAATGTGAGGTTATTGACCTTGGTCTAAGGTCTATAGCGTTCTCTCCTGAAAACGATTGATTTTATTGAGTTTTACCCTTTATTTTTGTGATGTACAACTTTCAATAACGACTAATCAGTTGAATGGAATATGTCCTCTTGGATTTGATCAAATAAATGATATTCTGGTCGTTTTTTTATAAAAAAATACATAAAATAACAACACATAGACAGATCGTACACAATAGCCGATTTTTTGATACACAAAAACACAAAGAAATGACATGGCATATTTCACAAACGTCAACCTGTGCTTTGCTGTGGTCTACATTCGATGCGACCATCGATGCGACTCTCCACATCACCAATTGAGTACGGTTGAGTACGTGCGATCGGTATTTTCAAATTCATATAAGTATTAAGTAATTTGATTTTTTCTATGGGATTTTTCTATCCCAATGTGCAAAGTGGTAATGTATTTATATAAAATTCAAACTTAAGGAATAGATGTCTTGTGTTCTCTATATTTTCTATTAAAGAACGTATTTACTTCAGATTTCAATCGAATACCGCATTCACGCAACAAGAGATCTCTGTATCTATTTCTCTGCCTTTTTATAATGTACCACATTGTTTGCTGCTCTGCAATAGCATTTGAAACACTTAATAATTTAGTTTGTTGCGAATTTTTTCAATTTTTAGAATTTGTTTGGTCTCAAGAAGAGCACCGTAATATGGGCGCATGGTCATTCATTAGGTCACGTTTCGAAAATATCTGCGGCCGAAAAATCGGTTACGTTGGACGTTCGGAAGGTGCTACAATTGCTGTTAGTTTATCATCCTGGCACAAAATTGAAGACGAACAAATTATTGTAGATGCATTTAAAGGACTTTAATGTTACTTACATAAATGTACAAATCGCTTGTATTTTATTTTTGTTAAGTTGGAAATTTAATGAAACAGAATCAACAGCAACTCGGCGGCAATACAGCATTTGCCGATGCTGGAACATTATTGCAGGTCGTACCGAAATTATGTTTAAAGTGTCACACAGCTAGCGCCACGACGGAGTTCAATGTAATTTATACTAAGTTGCCGCCAACTAGTGAAAAGACTTTTGTATGAAAATGTGTTTATTCAACTCACAAATTAAATTTTCGTCACAAAATTATTATCAGAAATGTTGTGTCTTTAATTTTGGTTTCGTTACTCGTTTATTTTACCTCGTAGAGGTGTTTTGTTAGATATAATAATACAAACACATTTTTATGCTGCCTTTTATAAATTCTTTATTCATCCAATTTTCATAAAAATGGCTATCCAAATGGTAAGTTTTACTGCTTTAAGATTCAATTTATTGAAACTTGAAACTGATTTCATTTATCTAGCAAGATTTCAATTCTTTCAATGAAAAGTATAGGTTTCTTCTTGCTTTTCAACAACAATACACTTTATTTATCAATTCTTATTAGTAATTTTATTAAGAGTACTGAAAATTATGTAAAATCAACGTGTATGTATATTTGTGCGATCGTACGTCGTTTTCACTCGATTCTGCAGGCAACACTTTCATGTCGCGCCATTCAGTGAGACTCGATTCGTTTTTAATTTCCTAGAAATGGGAGAATATGAAGATTTCGAATCTCTTTAGTAAACAACGGTGGCGCCCCAAATTTCAATGGGAACATCAATGTAATTTAACAACTCAAATCAAAACCAAACGCACCAAGTTTGAAATTTGTTGATACATCCTCCCATTGTTTCCAAGTATTAGTTAATAAAAAAAATAATTTTTTTTCTGAAAATGCGTTTTATTTTGAAAAGCGATAGTTGAAACGATAGTTATGTAACATAACTTATGTTATAAACATTTTAAAAAAGAATACTAATCGCGAGATCTTTTGGCCAATACTGATTATTGATAAGAATATTTTTGCTCATCGAATTAGGTGGACATATGGACGAGTCTGCAAAGTTGCCAAGATTGCTCTTAAAACTGCGAGGACGCGATGGTACTTTACACAACATGGCTACTGCCAAAATTTGATGCAAAATATTTCTGTAATAGTAATGAGTGTCTTGAAATAGTCGTACGCGTAAGGGTGCTCCGGATCGGGGATTGTTTTGAAGGACATTCGCATATTCGCTAAGGCTATCCCACCCACGAAGTAGATCTGCTCCCGCTAATCCCAGTGTATAATTCGAATCATAACTTCCGACATGCTCGCTTATTCCGTCGAATATACGGCTGAATCTTACGCTTTCCGGAATGGATACTATAAGAGTCATTATTGCTCGCGCCAATTGCATGTCATTCACACCCGAGCCATACCGATATAAGATTTGGATGGAATTATCTAATTCAATTTGGCTAATTGTAACATCTTCCAATCTTCGGTTACCTCTGTTTTGTAAACTACCGTAATCGGAATTGAGGTTAAGAGGAATGGTGGTCACGGAAATATTTACATTGACATTAGCATGGTCTTGAAATCTAAAAAAAAAACCGCCCGACACGAAACCAACGATATACAGATTACTGTTTTGCATAACGAGCTGGACTCTGTTATTATGTGAATTTACAAGATTTATGTATCTTATGTTATCGTTTGCATTTTGAGGGGGTGGATTCAAAATTTGTACTTGATCAATATGCTCAGCTTGTCTGCTCACCAGTCTTCTCAACTCAACAATAGAGTTACGATACTCTTCCTTATTTTTTAATTTAAAATCGAACTCATTGGTTGCATTTGGTGGATTCAAAATTCGTACGTGATCAATATGATCAGCTTCTCTGCCCAATTTATCAATGGAGTTCCGATAATCGGTCTGTTTTTTTAATTTCAAATCACACTCTTTGGCGTACAACAAGTTGAACAACAACGTTATCGTTATTACAATAAGTAACCTCATTTTTTAAAGTTGGCGGTTTCCTATTTATTAAAACTGGATATTGGGTTTTGCTGGTTGAAAAAAAAAAAAAAAAAATAGAAGTTATCGAGTTGGTTTAATAAAATATAAATTGATTTGGCAAGATTGTGACACGAAAGTGAGGTTATGTCAGGTTACTTTTTTCTGATAAGTTATTATTTTTGAAGTAAATCTAACAAAATTACAAAACGAAACATTTTTTATTTTTAAATAAATAAAAAATAAAAATATGTATACTTCTGTTGTTTTATTTTATCTGTTTAACCCGACTATTATGACATATTTTGATTGTGACACGAAAGTGAGGTTATGTTAAACACTTTATTTTTTAGTTTGAAACTAACTTAATATTTCCCAATATTGTGGACACAAATCTATAAAGATTTGGAAAAAACATTTTTTTCTTAAAAAAAAATAATAATAAAAATATTCATATTTCAATTTCTCTGTGGTGTCAAGAACTTTTACTTCAATCAGTAAACTATGACTTTGTCGAACCGTGGTAGCCATATTGTCACAAACTTCGATTAGTTACTCGGAATACGCATTAGAGGCGTGTCAGTGTTTTTGGTTACGGTTATGATCAGGCGGCGATTGAACGCACAGACGTCCAACACTATAAATAGTTAAATCTCGAACATTAAAAAGTTTTATTTTTTGAATATCAGAATGCATAGGTGATGACGAGGGTTCCTAGGGTTCCCCTCTTAAATATTTTTATGAACCCTCAACAATTTTGAAAAATAAGGACCTTTGTTGGCCGAGAAAATTCTTTCGATTTGCAAGGTTTTTCTTCAAAAAAGTGAAGAGCAAAAAAACGATTTTATCCTCATTTCCTACAAATGGTTGGCATAGTCAGGAATTTTGCCATCAGCCCCCCTAAAAAAATTTCCGTCATCATCTATGTCAGAATGCGAGGGGAATTGATTTTAGCGCTCAATTGTTTTCGCTCTTTCTTGCTCGCTCGCTCTGGTAGCCCGAGTGAGTGCAATTCCCGCCGAAATTGCACTCGATTCAAAGCTCTGCCGCACCTATAAAAGGCCGCAGCAAGGGCCGCACTCAAGTGCATATCAGTCAGTGTACATATTGACCGCGAGTGACTATCCGACTAGGGGTTTTCATGTAAGATTTTGTTTCACGAATTCGACGAATAAACAACAGAATAACAAATAATACAAATTTTTACAAATCATGCAAATCTTTACCGATTTCACTATTTTGTGCCAAAAATCTACCGATATTCGCCGATATGCGAAGTGTCTTTGTTCTGGAAGTGGGCTTTGGTGGATCCTCAGGATCGTTCAGAACCGCTCCCAGGTCTGGAAGTGGACCCTCAGGATGGGTCAGGGCATTGTCAAAATCCACTCAGAGGATCCACCAAAACCCACTTCCAGAACTGGGAACGGTTCTGATGATCCTGTGGATCCACCAAAACCCACTTCCAGAACAATTAAGTATCAAAAAATACCCGAATATTAACGATATTTTACAGATATGCCGATATTTCACCGATCTGCCGATATTTCACCGATATGCCAATACGCAAATATTATCCAATAAAAATACATGCAAACCCCTAGCTATCCTGGGGACCCCCAATCATCCCGTGAAGTCAGATTTCAAATAACTTTTCTGGGTGGTGAGAAAATCCATGGACAAATTTTGCGTACGGCGGACAACGTACGACGTACGACGTACGACGTGGAAGCGACCCACAACAACCATGCTCAAAACGGCCTGATTCGGGTTCTCTGACCTCAGAAACGTCCAGAAAACATGTTTTTGAGGTTTCGTAAATTTTGACCTATTGCAATACTTTCCCCTTTCACACTAGGTGTGTGCGGAAAAGTAAAAATAGATCTGAGGACTTCAAGAGAAAAAATGTCATGTTTGCTTCTTATAACAGATGCATGATCAACACCAAAATAGTCGAATGTTACTGCGTGTGCAAAGAAAATATTATTATCTGTTTAATAAGCAAATATGAACATTTTTCCTTTAAAACTGCGTACTTCAGACGTCTCTATCCATAGCAACTTGAAATTCTCAGATGTTTTTTTTT